TCCTGCTTCCCCGCACAGCCTTCTCCAGCGTCACCTCGGGGCTGGGCAGCACCAGCACCCGGAGCCAGGCGCCGTCGGGGCGCTCCCGCAGGGCTCGAGTGCTCCAGAGCAGCGGCAGGGCCAGCACTCGCGAGCTCCAGCCCTGCCGGGCCCTGCAGATGCCAGTGCCCCTGCTCTCCTCGTCGGGCCCAAAGTCCTGACAGCCGGCCCAGAAGATGCAGGACCTCAGGTGTGCTGTCCCAAAGTACTGGGCCCTGATCTCCTTTCCCCAGCACAATAAAGTCGGCCCTTTAACCCTGCACTGTGTTTGTGACATGAAGATCACTGTAGATGTGGTTCTGCAGTAGCCCAGGGGCCTTGCTCGCTCCCCAGATCCTGTTCCCCAATGGGATGGCTGCTGTACCCACTGAAGGCTTCCTTCTTGCACTGTAAGCCAAGAAATCCTTCTTCACACAGGTTGCAAGCCTCAGTAAGGAATTCACAGGGCTCAAGAGAGTCAGGATTGTACCTGTTACTTAGGGGCTGAGTCCTTTTGTACGTCCTTGAGAGCAAAAATTCACATGTGCTCTATGGGAGGTTAACAAGGGTCCTGGGAAATGTCAGTCATCTGAAAGGATTTCCCTCCTGTTGGAGACCAGCAAGTGCCTTTCCAGTGCAGGAGGGAGGAAAGCTTTTGTGGCAGAGGGGCTGCTTAACAGCTCTGTGGAAGCTGGCACAGAGCTAGAAGGCTGAATCCAAGGATTATGGTGACCGAATGCTGTGGGGTGGCTGTACAGATTCTAACAGCCCTGTGCTCCTCAGGAAAACTACAGGTGGTCTTTTGATGTGTGTACTGAGTGCCTTCTGGATAGGCCTTAATGCAGCATGGAAGTTAGAATCCTAGAATGGTTGGAATCCCAAGTTGGGAAGGGACCTTAAAGATCATCTAGTCCCAACCCCCCTGCCATGGGCGGGGACACTTCCCTCAAGACCAAGTTGCTCCAAGCCCCATCCAACCTGGTCTTGAACTCTTTGAGGGAGGGGGCAGCCACAGCTTCACTGGGCAACCTGGGCCAGTGTTTCACCACCCTCACAGGAAAGAATTTCTTGCTAGTGTCTCACCTCAATCCCCTCTCTTTCATTTGAAACTGTTCCTCCCTTGTGCTGTCACTCCATGCCTGTGGGCATCAGCTATAGGCCACAGGCGGCCTTGATCTCGACAAACTATAGCTGTGCCCTTTTCAGTTAGAGACAAACATGTTTGTGGGAAAAGAAGGTATGAGAGAGATACAGATGTGTGTTGACATTCTTTTAAGAAAATGTAAGAAACTTGTAACCTGTCACAAAAGTAAGACAGAATGCATGAACAGAAGCTGTTAACCAATGGGAAGGAAGCGTAAGGCATGTGGACAGGAGAAAAAGGTATAAGAATGCTATGTAACATATTAATAAAGGCTAATACTGGTCACCATCATGGCGTGTCAGCCCCAGCCTTTGCTGCACATGCCCTTGTAAAAAGTCCCTCCACAGCTTTCCTGTAGCCCCTTCAGGTACTGGAAGGTGCTCTAGGGTCTCCCTGGAGCCTTCCGCAGGCTGAACGACCCCAACTCTCTCAGCCTGTCTCCATAGCAGTGGTGCTCCAGCCCCAGGGTCATCTTTGTGGCTCTGCTCTGGATGTGCTCCAGCAGCTCTACGTCCCTCTTCTGATGGGGGCTCCAGGACTGGACACAGCACTCCAGGCAGGGTCTCACCAGAATGGACTAGAGAGGAAGAATCCCCTCCCTTGACCTGCTGGCCACACTTCTTTTCATGCAGCCCAGGACACAGTTGGCTTTCTGAGCTGCAAGCACACATTGCCAGCTCATGTTGAGTTTTCATCAACCAGCACTTCCTCCAAGCCCTTCCTCAGGGTTAATCTCAATCCATTCTCCACCCAGCCTGTAACTGATTTTGGGATTGCCCTGACCCATGTGCAGGACCTTGCACTTGGCCCTATCGAACTTCAGGAGGGTGGCATGAACCTGTTCCAAATTTAATCCAGTTTCAGAGGAAGATCTGCAAATTTCATCTGAGTGGTAGGTCAGCTCTGGCTCTTCACATTGACCCAGGTACCTCTGCTGAAAACAAGGAGAGCAATTTTGTTACATAAGCAGAAAACATTATTTTTTCCCCCCTCACAGAATCATAACATCATTTTGGGTGGAAAAGACCTTGAAGATCATAAAAGCCAACTGTTAACCTAGCACTGCCAAGCCCACCACTAAACCATGTCCCTAAGGACCACATCTACACCGCTTCTAAATACCTCCAGGGATGGTGACTCAGACACTTCCCTGGGCAGCCTGTTCCAGTGCCTGACAACCCTTTAGTAAAGAAATTTTTGCTAATATCCTATCTAAAACTTCCCTGGCATAACTGTGATACTGTAACTGTCATTGCATTTGTAACTTTGATTGCAATACCAAAACCCAAAATGCTTCCCTCCCAGAAAAAATATATTTGAGCTTTTCATAAAATAAACACACTGATTCTCAGCCTGAAACCAGAGACTGCTCAGAGTTCTGTCCCAGGTGAAACTATGATGTCAGGTTTCACAGAACTTTCACAGACTTTTAATAAGCTCTCAGGAAAGCTTCTGAAGCAACCAGAGCTTGTAGACACTTCTCTAAGTTTCTGATGATTGGGAAGAAGCAATTAACAGCAGTGAAGCAGAGCAAAGAGAGGTTACTATAGCAAGGCAGCCCCCCACTTTGTAAAATAGCTAAGCATTTCTCTTGGTAGAGGCAGGCAGAGGCACACTACACTTTTGAGGAACTCAGAAGCACCCCAAGTGTCACCCCGGAGTGTCACCTGTAGGTTCTTTCCCTTTCCTTTCCCAGACCACAGCAGGATTTAGCCCTAAATCGATTTAATGTCATTTTTACAGCGTCCTCTCCTGTGTGTGGTGGTACCGAACCTCGCCGGTCCCTCGGTCCCATCCCAAATGAGGAGCTCCCCTTGCTGGTGGCAGCCGGTACGAGAGGGAGCGATGCTCCCGTCACCCGGGCGGCTGGTAGAGACACAGGCGTGCCCAGCTCAAGGTCGGAATTAACCATTAAGGTGAGTGAATAATTCTCAGGCTCCCTAGAGCCTGAAAGCAGGCAGCAGCAGGGCTCCGTGGTAGTGAAGGGGGCTGCTGGGAGGATGTAGGATGAGCCCAGACACGCTGTGTAGGTGGAGCCTCCGCCCCACCTTGGTAAGACCAGTGCAGAAAGGCAGCTGACTGCTGCTGTCAATAAAACAGGCGCCTTCCTTGGGAAGCACGGCACAACCGTAAGAGCTATTTCATCCTCCCACAGCTGTTGGGGAAAGAAATAACCTGGAAAAATTTGAAGTATTTGTAGTACAAGACATACATAAATTCCAGGAGAAAGGTTACAATAGGGGCTTAACAAGGGAAGGAAAGCTGCTGTGGGGAGCAGGGATGTCTCACCTGCCAACCACGGAGGCCTGGGAATCCTCACAGTCAGTGCA